TGAGTTTGTATCAATTTATTTATTTATTTTTTTGAATTTTATCACTTTCGGAGTGTTTGTGTAATCATTTTTTAAACACAATTCAAAAAAGTGACAATTTTTATAAAAAAAAGTAACACCGTGTCACTTTTAAATTTTACATAGTATTTTCTTACTTCCAAAAATTATTTCATATGATTTTTCAAAACACCCTTAATTTTAAAGGTATTTTTGTAAGTTACCCAATAAATAATCAAAGGAGTCACCAGCTATGATTACCAGCCCAATCCAAACAAAACAAAAGGAAAAAAAAAAAAAAAACTCTTATTTATAAATAACAACTTATGTATAATAAAGAATGTTTTTTAATTTAGAATCTAGAATTTTTTAGACACTGCAACAATGTTATCCATTTTGACTCTTCATTTGCTTTTTCAACAAAACATATACTGATGCTCAATATTAAAAAGTTAAAATAAAGAATCTCTTAAAATTTAATTTTAAGCATGACTCTTTAAAATAGAAAATTATTATATATTTTAAAAAGACTCTTAAAGATGCTCAAATAAACTTTAGAGATAAATAGCATTACTCATTTAAAACCCAACCTGAAATCAAGAAATTCAGACACAACCACATTAGCTTGAAGACATTGCTTCGAGTTTTACTCAAAAGCTCGTTTATGCTCAAATAGCGTGGCATGGTTTTTTCCAAATTTTGACACTGCTAAGTCTCACTTCTATTGGCAATGCATAAATCTCTTGGTTAAAATTCTAAAGCTACCAATGATGCATTTTGTCAAGCATTTAACAAGAAAATCTTCTTGAACAACATAAACAGGCAAAATCACCCTTTGCATTCAATGAAATATGAGCTCGGATCTACTATCTAATCTGATGTCCCCAATACATTTTTGACACTAATGCGCCAAAGTACCTCGGACCCTGACAAAAACTACAGGCAGATCACATATTTCCTCTACTATCGCTGAGGTCGAACATTCTAAGGCTGCACTAGACATATCTTGAATGCTGCCTTCCAAAACAAATAAATCACTGCAAACTATACAACAATTTCAGACACGATTCTACTCCACATTAACATCTATGAAATACAAAACTCATAATTCCATTTGTCTCTTCAGCAGAAGAAAGAAGAAAATCAAAATCAAAATAATAGAAAAAGCGGAAAAATGGAGATTGGCGCCACCAGTGAGTTCATATAAGAATATTGATCAAGGAAAAAATTAAGCTCAATGCTTCAAAATCGTAATTCAAACAGGACTACAGACACAACAGATCAGTCGGCCAAGGGGAATGCAGGATATCTGCCTTTCTGTGAAACTATCTTAAGCACCCTCCAAAATTTTCTTTTTCTCTGTACAACTTCAAGCAAAACACTGATTAGTAAATCTTTTTACCACCGCATTTCAAGCAACACCTCCTTGGTTCTCTCTTTATATAAGTGACAATGGTCCAATGAGAAGCTCGATTACATTATCCTGCATGCACAAGTCTTTCGATTCCTATGGTCAAATTCATCTTCCGATTCAACTTCGCTGCAAGCACATGGAATGCAGAGTTAACACACTGGACACTAACATTTGGAGAAAGAACTAGAGTCTATGAAAGCAAAAGTTTTGGTGATTTCTCCTGTTTATAATGTGAAAAATAAAACAACAATCATCCAATTATTGTTCATAATAATGCTTTTGCGCAGAGTCTTCACACACATTTTTCTTAGTGTGTGTTTGATTCGCACCTAGAAAAGAAAATGTTTTCCTTGTTTTGAGGAAAACAAAAACCACCTCCACCCAAGGAAAATATTTTCCTTAAAAACAAGGAAAATTAAGCATATTTTCAAAAATTGAAAAATGTTTTCCATAAAAAAAAAAATAGCAATCAAACACCCCAAGTAAGAATTTGAATGAAAAACTGATATTTTCCATGAAAAATAAATATAATCAAACACACCCTTAGTGTATGGCAAGGACTTAGTCAACCATACCACAAGATTAATCAATGACATTTCAACAAGTATCCAACTAGTGTTGAAGATAAGATGGAGCAACCTAGCAACCAAAACAATGTCAAGATGCCAAATTAATTACGATATGTAGCCTCCTGTAAAGGCGTATAACAAGAAATTGAATCTAAAAATAGAAGAAAAGTAGTCATTATCTACAACCTCCTCATGTTGAACTCTACTTTAAAGAAGCTAAAAAACTTCAAGAATAGCTAAAAACTCGCATTGGAGATATAACCAGGTTTTAACACTCTACTGAGAAAACATGATTTTGCCTGTTCCATATTAAACAACTAAACTCTTTCTCCAGCTCACATGCTCGTCAGTGCATACCTTGGCATGATGAGAACAAATCTTGAATTCCACTACTTTCTTATAATACAACAATATTTGAAACAGGGTAGTTGGCGCAAAACCCCCTGATCTTTGCCTCTATTATGGAATATTCCCTATCCTTTCAGATAGGTGAAAAACACTCCTCGATGACCTTTTAACTATGGAAGACAATATTTTCTTCCATTTCCGCAATAAAACCTTGTGAAATGATGAATATGCCCTCTTTAATAGAAACAAAAAGAAAATAAGAAAAAAGTGAATAATTAATTGCAACCATAGTCCCAACTTTTTCAAAAAAGAGCAAACGAGTCCCAAATAAATAATTAAAAAGTTAAAATTACAAATAAAAAAATCCCCTCTCTCTCCCACCTACCCCATCTTCCTCCTACCTCGCGCGCCACCATTTCCGTAGTCAAGCTATCTTCACATAATTGCAATAATATGCCTATTGCAATCTCCTGCCATTCTGTTCCCATGCTACTTTTCAACAAATACAGGAATTCCACCTTCCTTCACAACCATCGCCCTGGCTTCCAGCGTCGACCCCACTAGGCTCAACATGCATGCCGATTTATCCACCATGTCCGACCTAAAATCTGCCATTAATTCCATTAGACGTTTCATAATCTCCGCTTGAACAACCCTAATTTTGTTCTCCTTCACAGAACATAGAGAAACAAAGCTGTGCAAGCATACTTTTTACCTCGAAAATTGATGCTCTCTAGTAAATTCACCAATGGAGGAATCGCACCCGACCGACCTATGGCGATTTTATTCTTTTCAATACGGGAGAGTCGAAGTAGAGCGCAAACCGTGATTTCTCAAGCAGTTGAAGTTCCCAACTTCAACGCACAGACAAGGGTTCAATAGCCTCAAAAGATGTAATCAAATCCTTATTTTCATCTAACAGTGACAAATTAAGGATGCTAGTGACTCCATATTCCTGTAATTGAGCATCATTTGAAGAAGATAATTATGCCAATTTTGTAAGGATGAAGTTGAGAATGGTAAGGATGAAGGGTCATTTTGGAATGTAATCAAATCCTTATTTTCATCTAACAGTGACAAATTAAGGATGCTAGTGACTCCATATTCCTGTAATTGAGCATCATTTGATGAAATTACCGACATAAGAGGTTTAATTGAGCATCATTTGAAGAAGATAATTATGCCAATTTTGTAAAGATGAAGTTGAGAATGGTAAGGATGAAGGTCATTTTGGACCCAGGAAGAGATTGTGATGTGGCTAGCTTGAGTAGTGTGGTGGTGGTGGTGGGTGGATGGGTGGGTGGAAGGAAGATAGAGGTAGGAGAAGAGAATTTTTAAATTTAATTTTTTAATTATTTATTTGGGGCTCGTTTGCATTTTTTTGGAAAAGACGGGACTACAGTTGCAATTAATTCTTTATTTTTCCTTCTTTTCTTTTTTGTTTTATTTAAAAAGAATGGTATATTTGTCATTTCATAGGACTCTATTGAGAAAATAGAAGAAAACAAAGTCTTCCACACTTAAATGTTATCTAGGGGAGTTTTACGCTGATCTAAAAAGATATGGGTATTCAGCAATAGAGGCAAAGGTAAGGGATTTTACGCTAATTACTCTTTGAATTATGGATTATACTACATATACATAATGGTCAACACTTTGGCTTACACCCATGTGAGTTGACAGATTTTGGTACATGATCTTGACAACACCATTTTTTATCAACTCCCAGATTTTTGACACAGAGAGGTGTTAATTAAAGTGTACAATTTGTGTGTACAAGTAGTTTAATCATTGAACTATTAACCATGATATTCCCTAGAATCTGACGTTTCAATATATGAATGCTAACAAGTCTGTGGTGTTGTATTTAAGTCATTGCTTGTGCTAAATTGCCTAAAGCACGGTATTTGTTTTTGGTCTTTATTCAACAAAACATAATGAAAATATAAATCAATGCAGAACAGATGTAGAAGGATCACATCTCACTCTACAATACTTGAACATCAAACTAAAAAAATATCCCCCATTATATCATTCCTCAATAATTCATAAAAATCTTTTATAGTTTTCATGTGCCTAATCAACTAAATGTTATAACCTGTACAATGGAACCCGGTGCTGTACTCCAAATTCATTAAAAATAATAGCAAACCAAGATACAGAGACCACAGATTACAAAATATTAGCTGCAATGCTCACCACAACCTTGACATTATTGGTGTCAAATGGTCATTGTCCTCACCATTTCTAAACTATATGTATGGAATCAGATTAGTATATATTCACGCTCTCAATTATATATGTTATCTTGTTGTATACACGTCTTTAACATGGGCATGAGCATGACAACAAACAAAGCCACAAGGAAAACGAAATTTGATGGTAGCAGGGAAGAAAAACTTCCAAGTCTTAGATCATACTTGTTACAAAAGCACAAAAGCACCAGAATGAAAACATGAGAATGGAGATCCAACAGCCCATAAGAAATTTAAAGAATGAAAACGCACACAAATTACTTAATGATATTAATCTTTCATACCTCATATCAAATTCTCGGATCTCAAAGAGCTCACCACCAGATGTATCTGTCCATTGCACTTTCCTCCTCTCCGTTTGACTCATAACATCATTATTCTTCTCACATAAAGCTTCTTGTCCATTGCCAAAGCTTCCATCACTTGCAGCAGAAACTGGAATAATATTTGTCGGTTTCTTCATACTACTCTTCAGACTAATACTACTTATGTTACTAGCATCATCATCAAGATGATCAGCCAAATGGGCTTGATCTTTACCATCGTGATAGACAGGATTTCCCAGTGAGGCTTCTTGGAGCTGATTAGGCAGATGAGATGGGCTCTTGACTTCAGCGGTAGCACGACCAAAGCATACAAAGGAAGCACACCCGTGGACAAGCTGGTTCTTCCCAGTAGACAGCTGGCTATCAGGATCAGTCTCTTGGTCCACCAACTGGTACTGATTCCACGGTGTTACTCTCATGGGTTTCTCTTCTTTCCTCTGACCCAATAAAAGAAGGGTCAATCCCTTACTGTATCCAGAAGCCGAGGAAGAAAAGAACCCTCCTCCTTCCACTGCCAATAACATCAGTTCTTCTCATCTGGGCACAAACCAATAACTTACTTTTCAGCTATTTTACCTCCAAATAACTTTATTGGCCTGACAAATGTAATATGTAACTTATATGTGTAGAAACTTCGGGTAAAAATGTGACAACATTTTCCAAAATTCTGAGAGACGCTACCATAAAACCAGGGAATATAAATGAACACGCGATGTTTTACATAACTATCAGAAAGAGTTGGGTTTCTCTAAATTAGTTTTTTATTATTTTTATGTTTGCTTCATAAAAATTATTAACACAGTGTTATTCCATTTTATCAGCCTCGCAACAATTCAAATATAATTTCCGTAAACCATTTCATTGTTAAGTTAACTAAGCATCAACGTTTAAATCCATAAAATACACATTCAAAAAGGAAAAGGTTGAAACTTTATCTTGTCAAATACTATTTGCCAATAAAAATGGATTTCAAAAATCCTTTCAGACACAAACTTTCGAAGCTACAAAATTTTTCAATAATAAGCGCTTTAATTCAAATTCAACTCATCAAAGATCTTATAACTAGGAAATTTTTACTCATACATAACTCAAGCATGAAAACATAGAAAATGTTGGGTATAGATATATATAATACATATAATAGAAAGATCCATACAGATCTGAAAGCGAGCCCCAACAACAATTCAACGATCAGGCATCTGCCCACAAAAGTTTCTGATTGTAAGCCTCTAAATAGTAGAGTGCATTATTTAGCTTACACTGAAAAAAGGTACAAAAGAGGTAATCAGAATTTCTGGTTTTAGAGAGATAAATGGTATGAATAAGAACGATGGCAGCCAATTGACATAGGACAGAGAGAGAGGGGATTGGCCACAGTGGCGCATGATAGCGACGGGTCCTCTTTATTTGTGTATTTTTATGCAAAGGGTAATTTATTTAAAATTTAAAAATTTATTTTAGGTAATTTATACATTTTATTGTTTTTGTACACAAAGTCCATACATTCCATTTTTTTGACATTTTTACTCTTAATAACATATTTCATTGCACAAAATATCATTCTAATCTAATTTTTGATTTACATGAAGGATATTCTCATCTTAGTCCTTGTTTGATTCCCATTTTAGGAAAAATAATGTATTTTGAATAGTAGATTGATGGAGCATGTGTGAATAAAATTAAAAAAATATTTTGAATTTGCGTATTATATTATTTTATTGAAGAATATGTGGTTGAAAATAAGTTTTGAAAAAATGAATTTTTAGAAGAATGAGAATCAAATAAGGATTTAAATTTTTTCGCCTCGTTTAGCCTCTAATAATTTTGATTATAAGGGGGGAATTTTTTTTTTTAAATGAATAGTTATAAAAGAATGAAAAAAATTTTATTTACGTATAATATTATTTTTATTGAAAATAGTATAGTTGAAAACAGGAAAGAGAAAATTTTAATTTGATGAGATTTAATGAGGCTTCATCTTTGTTCCCCATTTGTACCCATTTTTTCCTCTATTAAACCTTTGATAAATATTGATTTGACTTGTGGTTTCAAGTCAGCTTAGTCGATAAACGACAATGGATGGAAGAAGATTCAAATATTAAACCCCTGTTTGAGCCTCTATTATTTTACATTCTTTTCCATTATTTTTCTAAAGTGCTCATTTTCAACTATACATTATTCATAAAAATAATATTACACGCAAATAAAAAAAAATTTCTTATTTTTTAACCACATATTCTCTATCAATCACTATTTCAAAATATATTACTTCAAATTAATGGGGCTCAAACGGGGCCTAAATTTTTTATCTGTATTTTGGTAAATTTTTAGTTCAAAATTTGGTTTAATGTAGGGGTGGAAGCACAAGGAACAGCTTGGAACTATAGGGGCTCCCATGGATGCTGCAGGTTCACTATCATTAGCCATGAAAGAAGATGGAAGTGTGAATATCCAAGTAAGTATAATTTTGTTTATTCTTTTTTCCAATGTGAGTATAGAATGAGATTTTGGCATTAGTTATGATTAGTTTGTTAATTCTTAATAATTTGATTTTGTTGATTTTTGATTTTAGGTAATTACCACAAAACGTCACCAAGTTTCATCCTTGACAACATTTGAATTCTGGTACTCGTTTCCCGTTTGGGACACCAAGAATTTCATCAGTTAATTATAATAAAGTTAGCTCCTTACTTTGTAGCTTATGTTATAGCAATAAAATTCCATTTCGTTTCATCACCACAGAATTGTTGTGCTGCAACTTCCACCAGCATTTTCTGTTTATTTTAAACCGTACATTTGTTGACTTGAACAATTTATATTGCATATCTTCTCTTTTTAATGTTATAGTTGACACGGTTCAAGTACAAGATTCACGTCACTTTACAAAATTTATGAGGTCAACAAAAAATAAATCTCGAGAAAAAAAAAATTGCATCTAGGTTGGTGTTGTCTCAAATATTGACGAGAATGGTGTTATTTTTCATTCATGTCTTCACTTGAACAAAAAATTGGGGAAGAAAGAGGGGAAAAAAATTAAGACAAAAATAACCTTCATTTAAATGAAAAATGGATGAAAATGATGTTTTGCGAGATCAAAATATGTAATTAAGGGTGAAAATACCAAAAAATGAAGGTATGAACATTTTAATAATATAATAGTGGAGTGACGTTTTGTAATAATTACCTATAAAATTTCTTCTTTTTTGTCTCTTTCTATTCTGAAAAATTACAAAATACACTCTGCATTTAGATTTATTTACAATTTCAATACTATATTTTACATAGTTACATTTTGCTTACAGTACTTTACATATGGATAACCAAAAAAAAAAAAAAAAAATTGCAAGTAAAAATAGAAATATTAACAAAATTGCCATAATAAATAGCTAAACAGATCAAAGTTCCCCTAATAAAAAATATCAAAGCAGACCTTATATTTTACATTACTTAACACTTTACAAAATATGATATACAAATTTTAAATACAGTGTATCATGTAAATTTCCCTTCATTAGTTATCTTATGCGTTGAGAGTAATCATGAGCTTTTAGAAAAGTGGCAAAGTGTGATTTAAAAGAGAAAGCTTGCTTTTGTCTGGTTGCTTGCTCATGGCCGCTTTATCTTTATTAGAACTAGCCTCAAAGGAAGAAAAGGTGGGTCGAGTCGTCTAAGTTTAAAGGTATACTAGTCAAGGCTCGACATGGTTCATGTGAGATGGTTGGAAAGCTAGATAGTCTTGAATCGACTCTTTGACAGCATGATTTTCCCCAAAAAATTAACTTCCAATTTTTATGCCTTTCATACATTGTATTTTAATGATTACAAGATTTTTATTATTTAATTAGTAGTTTGATCTTGTTTTCGATTGAACTTTGGGAAAGTGAAAAAGTCTATTAAACAAATAAGTGTACATTCTCATAGTTTCATGTCTTCTCTGCATAATAAAAGACAGTTTGTATTTTATCAATTTAATTCATGTCATGTTTCGAGCATTGTAAAAGTTGAGACTAGAATTTCATATTAAAAGGTTGACATATTAAGTGGAGATATTTGTACCCTTATATATCTAATATGTATCCATGTTTCGTCAACATTGGACTTTGGTTGCACTTTGTCAAGAGTCTCAATAATATCTCCCAAAGAAAGACCAAACCAACTCAAATCCCGGTAGACAGGCTTTTCTACACCATGATCATTCTCGTCAACCAAATCAATTAAAGCTCTATTTGGCCATCGATGTTGCATTTTTTTAACAAATGTAAGTCGAGCTTCATTATTTATTCTTTGACTTTTACTTATGTAGCACATTTCTAAATTTTTTTTAATAAATATTTTTCGTCACTTAAATTTGGCCTGCCCTTGGTTCGGCCCAAAAATAGCCGGAACCAAGCCGACTCATTTCACGGGCCATTTTCGGCCCATGACGAGCCGACCCTTTGAAAAAGGAAAAAAATGAAGCTACAGGCAAGTACACAACTACTTGCACGTATTAAGTAGCAAGCAACTAGTTGCTTAGGTTTTATTTAAAAAAAAAAAAAAATAACTGGCTCGTTAGGGTTCAAGCCAAAAGCTTGGGTCGAGCTTGGGCACAAAAAAATTCAAATCATTTTTACTCGAACCAAACTCGAGTCTCAAATTTCGGCAGGTAATCCAGCTCGACTTGGCTCGTTGTCATCCCTAGATTTTATATATTAAAACCTCAAATAAATGCTACCAAAGGAATAGAAATTAGCTTAATAAAATCATGACTTTCATGTTCCCTGCAGTTGCACTTAGTACAATATGCTTTGGTAGTTTGTACAGTGCGATCAATTTTCCTAGGAAAAATGCTGGAGTGATGGAAGAATCCTGACAGATTCTTTGATGGAAGGCAGTGTGGTAGGATGTGATTGGGTGGAAAGCTGACTATGCTTTAAACAATCCAATGATAGAATATCATGTGACATTATGTCAATCATTATGTCACTATAGTATGATTGATTTTCCTGTCTTTTGAACTTTAATTTTAAACGATCTTGCTACATATGCGTTAAGATTTACGTAATATCATGTTGCACTCGATTATTTGTCAATTTAAAATACAATCAACTTCTTCATCAGGTCTTTACCCTCCACATAATTTTCAGTTACCATTTATGTACATTTTTTATGTAGCGAAATCCAATTTCAAAACCATCTTTTGGATCATTCCTTTAATTTCAAAAAGTATATCACCCTGGAATACCAATTGTAGCAAATTAAAAACATGCAAAAGCACACGATTATCCCCTCACAGCCTCACATATATACTGTCACGGTTGATCTATCATACAGCGGAAACAAATGACTAATACAAATGGAAATTTTCATTTCTGGTCCTCATCCTACTCATCAAATTACAAGTTGGTCCTCAATATTTTAATGTAGGCCGCTATTAAGCCTCCTGAATAGTTACGGTCAAATATTTTGTTAAAATGAGTTGTTCAAATCCTACCGATTATTATATTATTTTCTATTACAGTCAAAACCAGTAATTTCTTTATTTTCGTTTAAACTGCGACTAGACTTAGTAGGATCACTGAGCTATAATTAAAATTTAAGTATTTCTATGCAGTTGAGAGTCTTGTGAGTTGTGAGTAAGACCTCTTTTAAGAAGTTCCACTCCTATTGGGTTCCCTCTAAATTTATTTTATGACGAAAGTAACCTCACTACTTCAAGGAGGCGACTACTTTGATGGTGATTGTGTGAGGAAGTGTTCGTAATGGTTGTAAGATGGGTTTGAACCAAGTAATTGTGATGGGATGGTTATGTTCTTGGCGAAGGAGGTTGAAGTGATCGATGTCGATGATGATTCACTTAATAATTTCCATAATTTCGTTGTAATGGTCAATAGCAATGTTCTAAAAGGTGACAAGACGGCAAGATCAAGTCAAAGCCTAAACATTTCCTTATTATAAAACGTTATTTTAATTATTCTAACACTATTACATAAATATCAATATTGTCTGCCAATCAATTAAAATCATAAATACTATAATTACTACTAATTTCTACAACTAGACAATTTTTAAGTTTTCAAATACTAGATAATTGAAAATTAAAAGCACGATATCCTTTTTGAAGTAATTAGTCCCAATAAATCATCAAAAATAATTTAGTGCCCAGGCCTACATTGACCATTAGGTTAACAAAAATGGCTCCAAATAAAATGGATATTTTTCTTTAAAAAAGGAAAGAAAGAAAAAAAAGTTGAAAAAAATGTGCATGACTTCTGGTGTCTAGGCCGGCATTAAGCAGACAGCTTTATAGAGGACAAAATGACCAAATCAAATCAGACCAAACCATAACCGAACCAAACCGGATGGACAATT